TGAATTTCCTCCCTGGCCGGGAATTGAACCCGGGCATTCAGCGAGACATGTGGTAAGCGGGTAGACCGCGCGGAGCATGGAGAGCACGTACAACCCCTTAACATGTCGACCTATGTCCAGCATGCACATAATGACCATGAATGACATGCACCAGCCATCCTACAATATGCAGCCATGCACAGCCCCCCCCCCCCCGTCTCCCCACCCGTCTCTCCATTATTTCAATGGCCTCTCATCAACGTTACGCGATATTCAATCACCAGCTTTATTAAGCAAAATATATCAACCCTGTTTGCTGAATACAATTTGCTCATGCACGCGCTCACCCATACATCTAGTCTGATCACTGCTAGCTATGAAATTTTCCCCATCATACTAATCTCACTATAATTATCTCTTATTGGCCACAGGCCATCGTGAGAATAAAGATTTTAAACTAAGATGTTCCGACATCGGCAGTACGATTCTTTAGCGTTAACGTGGGGAAGCGTGTGTGTGGGAGGGTGGAGGGGTGGAGGGGAGGTGGAGGGGAGGGCGGGGTGGGGGTGGGGGGTGCAAAAGTAGACATTCAAGATTGTGTGTGTGGAGGGGGAAAGTAGACAGCCAAGAATTCCTTTTTTAGGATTCTAGACTGTGTCCTCCACCCCCCCCCCCCCCTCCCCCACCTTATGATGTCTCGAGTGTGTACTTTTTTCTCCAAGCACATTTCGGAGTCTTGACTGTGAAGTCCCCCCCCCCCCCCCCGCCCACATTCAGGAGTCTTGACTGTGTACTTTGCCCCCCCCCCCCCCCCCAATACACTCACGTTTATAAGTTTTCACTGTGTGCTTTTGCCCCCCCCCCCCCCTCCCACGTTTAGTAGTCTGACTTTAAAAGTCCCCCCTCTTCTTTATAAGTCTTGACAGTGTACTTTTGCCCCTCCCCCCCCCCCCCCCCCCCCCACCCACACCACCCCCCCCCCCCCAAAGTACAGTCAAGATTCAGAAACGAGGTGGGGGGGGGGGGGGGGCAAAGTACACAGTCAAGACTCCAAAACCTGGGTGGGGGGGGGGGGGGCAAAGTACACAGTCAAGACTCCAAAACCTGGGTGGGGGGGGGGGGGGCAACAATGCGCAATCAAGTCTACTAAATGTTGGGGGGGGGGGGGCAGAAGTAAATGTACACCGTGAAGACTAAACGTGGGAGAGGACAAATGTACACAGTCAAGACCTCTACATGATTGTGTGTGCGTGTGGGGCGGGCGGCGGGGGGGGGGGGGGGGGGGGGGCTACATACATGTACATGCAGTCAAGTCTCCTAAATGTTGGGGGGGGGGCAGAAGTACACCGTGAAGACTAAAACGTGGGGGGGCAAATGTACACAGTCAATACCTCTCTACATGATTGTGTGTGCGTGTGCGTGTATGTGTGTGGGGGGGGGGGGGGGGGGAGGGGGGGGGGGGGGACAAAGAGAATATGCACATCAAGCACTGTCTATAAAAAAATTGTTCTCAAGTACATGTACATGTAGAGTGATTTTTGACAGCACATCGAAAAATTGTCTTTTTTATGTACGGAAAGACGAGGCTTTTTAGCCTGCGCTTGCAAAACCATATCAAAGGTGTTTTGATCAGTGAGTCGTAAAGTACTAAGATGTTTTCCGACTCCCAGGTTTGGATCCTATCAACATATGTACACAGCGCAGTGTCTACCTAGTGTAATGTTGTATAATATGTTATGTCAAGTCATGTCCTGTTTACAGCAGTCTTCAGTGTAGATTGATGTTTTGTAAGATCTGACCCATTATGTGAATGCCACATCAACAGGTCAACCTTCAACCATGTTCCCTTATGCGTATTGATCTCTAGTGATCTTCTCCGGAATCACTCCTTCCCCTGCGACTGACAGGTGACAGAGAAACGTTCTGCCATCTGACCACCGTTTAATTTGATGATCTCCTTCTTTCAGTACTGGCTGTACTCTCTATCCTAGCAGTGGATATTGCTCAGACTTTCAGCTGGTAATGTAGTGATGGACATGAATGTCCTAGCAGTGGATATTGCTCAGACTTTCAGCTGGTAATGTAGTGATGGACATGAATGTCCTAGCAGTGGATATTGCTCAGACTTTCAGCTGGTAATGTAGTGATGGACATGAATGTCCTAGCAGTGGATATTGCTCAGACTTTCAGCTGGTAATGTAGTGATGGACATGAATGCCCTAGCAGTGGATATTGCTCAGACTTTCAGCTGGTAATGTAGTGATGGACATGAATGCCCGGCTTTACCGCTGGCAATACTGTGTGGTGACTTGGAAGGAATGTAGGCACTGTCTTTTCGTTACGTACTATATTTTAGGAATATTCGCTGCACTTTGAACCTTCAAAATTCACCCAAAAAGGGGGGGGGAGGGGGTGTGCGGCTTATACTCAGAAGATCAAGTCCAGAGTGATAGATAGGGAAGATTTCTGTATTTCATGGTAAAAATAATGGGGCGTGCGGATTTTACTCCAGTGCGTCTTTTACCCCAGAAATATGGTATGCCTGCCAGCAATGCTTGCAGTTATTCATACTGCCATGCAATCCCTGTTGGCTTTTGGCCACAGTCACACATGCACCTTGTTTTTGGCACCACCTCCAAAAGCAAAACTTGCGCACTGAGTTGAACAAGCGTTCGCACATATAACTGTGTTCCTCAACACTCGGCGCTAGTGGAGGAAATTTCCCCTGTCAAGCACTTTCATGGATATGGGTACATTTACAGTATAGTCACGAGCGGGTAGATGAGTACGAAGTAGTGGTTGCAACTTCGGCGATGATTTGTAAGAAAGGGTCGGCAAGGGTCGGCAAGGGCAAGAGTCGGTCGGCAAGGGCAAGGGTCGGTAAGTCGGCGGAATAGCGCGAGCTCCGGTGTGGGGAGCAAACCCTTTCTTGGGTAGATGAGATGAGAAAATCTGTCTTCTAAACTCATTGACCCAATTCGTGACCAGAAGCGATGACGTTTCTCTCTCCAGGAATAGGTCTGCCAGAGTACGCAACACTAGGACTGCAACTAGGGAGTAGTATAGTTCTTTGTTGCCTTCTCCATCATCTACCTCAGCGTGGATGCCTGCACTTAAAATAAGGGAGTGGGAAAGTACTCGACTACTCTCTTGTTGCAGTATCGTTTGCGAGATTTCCAGAACGTTCAGAATGTACAGTACATTGGCAAAGAAGAACACGATGAAAATTACCAAACGGCAAGTAAACAACACCAGTAGTGGAACACCAGAGCCATCACGAACCAGACCAGAGCCATTACGCCTCCTCTATTGCCTTGGCAATGGCATGTGCAATCGATCGATAGTAACTAGGGGTCAAACGGGTGTACCTTTAACTAACGAACAGGTAATTTTCTTAAAGGGGAACTGTCACCAAAATTTTTCTTTGTCTTATCTTGTAGTTCTTTGGCTCCTGATCACGATGGTGTTATCCGTTTTTTCTCTGCGATGGCTGGAAGTGGGTGAAAACGTGAAAAGTAGGTGCCCAAAATTGTCCCGAAGTACCGAGTGACGTCACGCCGGACTTGACCTCTACGCGTACATTCGTCGTCAAAAACGAAGTCCAGCCCGTGTGCTGGTCGATCGAGCTAGCTGTTCTAATGTACGGTGCACGTGCGCCTTTTGAACTGTAACACAGATGGGTACGTCGTACCGAAGGAGAATGACAAAGAGGCAGAGACCCACGTGCAGCTACACAGCCAAATCAAAATAAAAAGCAGCTGAGCTTTCACCTTTTTGACTTCTTCCGCGACGATGTAATTTTTATTTTGTCAGCACGGAAGTACGTTTGTTTTTACCTCTCGTCTTGATTCACCATTCCACAAACGGAACGTCGTTACTTTATTATTAGAAGACTGTATTATTACTCTTTCATTCTCATGCCAAACAGCTAACTCCTACTAAAACAAGAATGAGCAAAAACTAGTGACCTGCACCACCGAAGCAGGAACCTAAAACTCTCCCACACCAAGGAAAACAAGCCCCCTTTACGCCTACGGATCACGGACTACAATCCCGATCCTAGCGTAGCGGCAAATGATACATACTAGTACAAGTCGATGACAAAAGCGGTGCCGGTGTTAGGTGACAGCTGCATACGAATGCATGAAAGGGGTCAGACAGTTCATGTATCATGTGTACCGGCAGTTGTAACTGGAGCCGACAGAAAGTCAATACATCAATAGCAGTGTTAGTCATACATAAAGCCCAGACTACAGAAAGTGTAGCAGTGGATACAAAGTAAGTTGCATACGACGGGTGTTGCTTGTCGCCAACGTTGCCTACGGGGGCAACATCCTCTCCCCAGTGACGATTTATCCGTCACTAACACAACGGACATCTAGCACGCAGAGCTTGGCTACTGGCCGGCGGAACACACCAGTCTGGATCTTGACATCTGCTACCCGCACCAGGCCGTCTCTGCCGGGATAGGTCGCCGTCACTATCCCCTTCGGCCATGTGATCCTCACTGCGTTGTCGTCGGCGATGACCACCACATCACGTACTTCCACCTTCTTCTCTGTTCTTCCGTGCCATTTGGTTCGCCGGGCTAGCGTTGGCAAGTATTCCTTAATCCAGCGGCGCCAGAAATGGTCTGCTAGCACTTGCACGATGCGCCACTGCCGGCGCAGATGTAGGTCATCACCACTGAATACTCCGGGCACTGGTGCTGCTGATGGCGTCCCTAGGAGGAAGTGGTTCGGCGTCAGGCTGTTGTCGTCAGTTGGGTCAGAGGACACATGTGTGAGCGGCCGGCTGGTGAGTATCGCCTCAACCTCTGTAAGTAGCGTGATGAGTGTATCCTCACGCGGAGCACGTTCCTTGAGCACGGCTCTCAGGGCGGTTTTCACAGACCTCACTAGTCGCTCCCACGCTCCCCCCATGTGCGGGGCTGCCGGAGGATTGAACTCCCACTTGATTCCTCTCGGTGTGAGCTCAGCTGTGAGGCGTGTCTGGTCCAGCTGGTCCAATGATTCCTTGAGTTCTCTTGCTGTACCTCGTAGGTTGGTGCCGTTGTCCGAGTAGATAACTCCAGGGCACCCTCTGCGACTGATCAACCGGCGAATTGCCATGATGGTACAGTCTGTTGTCAAGTCGTGTGACAGCTCCAGGTGTACAGCTCGGGTCGTAAGGCAGGTGAATATCACGCCGTACCGCTTCTCGTGACGTCGTCCGATAGTGACTGTCAGTGGCCCGAAATAGTCCATGCCGCAATGTGTGAACGGGCGGATGAACGTGGCAACGCGTGCGTCGGGAATCTGTCCCATCTGAGGTGGTGTTGGCTGCGCGCGTTCATTTTTACACTGCTGGCATACGGTCCAGGTACGGCGGACGGCTGTGCGTAGTTTCAAGACCCAATACGTCTGGCGGACGTCGTTTGCCACACTGTCCTGACCATGGTGTCCATGCCAGACATGGAACTGCTGAAGGAGCATCTGTGTGAATGGGTGCGACGGGTCCAGGATGACAGGTTCGGGCGTCAGTGGACTTCCGGGTGGTGCACTTCGAATTCGGCCATGCATTCTCACCACACCGTCGCTATCTAGCACAGGTTAGAGGTCTCGAAGTTTGCTGCTGCTGCTCACATTGCTGTGCTTCTGTAGGTCGCCAATTTCCTCCCGGAAGCTGTCTTGCTGTGCTTTCTTCCACCACAGCTTCTGGGCCTGCTGGTACTCCGATGGCAGCAACTCAGAGCAAGTGACTGTGGGCTTGCTTGACGCTTTCGCACGCAGGTTGTTGACGTATCTGACGATCCATGCTGTCGTTCTCATCAGCCGAATCCAGGATGAGAAGCGGCTGATATCTGGCAGGGCTAACTGCGCGTCTTTGGTGACTACCGCAGTAAACTCTGCCTTCATCTCGGCTTAGTCGTCGCTGGTGGCAGTGTCTCGCCCAGGATTCTCTACTGGCCACTCAGACTCTGGCTTGGTCAGAAACTCAGGACCATTCGTCCAGATGTGCTGCGCTGCTGATGTCTCAGGTGGGGCTCTGGTTGCTGCATCTGCTGGGTTGCTGTGTGTCGGGACCCACCGCCATTGCGATACATCAGTGAGCTCCTCAATCTCTCCGATACGATGTGCTACGAATGGCTTGAATCGCCGGGCGTCTGCTCGGATCCATCGTAGGACAGTCATAGAGTCACTCCAGAGCACGATGCGGTCGATAGGTAGATCATGCTCTTTCCGGACGGTGTCGGCCATTCTGCTAGCCATCAGTGCAGCTTGCAGCTCCAGCCGCGGTATGGATACGGGTTTCAGTGTTGCAACTCGGGACTTGCCAAACACGAATGCGACTCTGGTGCTGTCGTCAGGTAGCGATAGCCTGAAGTAGGCTGCTGCGGCGAATGCCGACTCACTGGCGTCTCCGAACACGTGAAGCTCCAGGTCCTTTCTGTCCGCAATAGCCGTGCAGTAGCAACGCGGAATTGACCTGCTTCCAAGGTTGTGCACTCCCGTCCACCAGTCCGTCCATCTTTGGACGAGAGGTCCTGGTAGTGGCTCGTCCCATCCGACGCCTGTGCGCCAAATGTCTTGTAGCAGAATGCGAGCCGACGTGGTGTAGTAGGTGAAGAAACCAAGGGGGTCGAACACAGACATCAGCTTGCGTAGGACTTCACATTTTGTCACTTCTGTTGTGCTGCTTTGCTCCAGGCTACGGCTCAGACTAAAGCCGAACGCGTCTTCTCGGGGCAACCACTTCAGACCGAGTGTCTTCTCCACTACAGTCTCGTTGTCGCTGCTAATAGTGACTACCGATGGTGAGCATATCTATGGGTACGGCAGCAAGAGCATCAGGTGAGTTGCTGACCCAGCCTCTGATGGAGAAGCCTCCGGCTTCCTGGATTTGACTCACTTCCTTGATCCGTTGGGCTGCTTCTTCTGCCGTCGGCGTCGAGTCGAAGTAGTCGTCCATGTAGTGCTTGTCATGGATTGCAGTAACTGCATCTGGCGCGCTGTGCCGGAATTCGTCTGCATTTCTTCGCATTACATACTGGGCTGATGCTGGCGAACATACAGCGCCGAATGTCATGGCTCTCATCTGTTAGACATCAGGTTCACGGTCTCTGTCACTGCCTCGCCAAAGGAAAAGCTGTGCAGGCTGATCATCAGGTCGGATGTGCACTTGGTGAAACATCTGTCGGATATCCCCTCCGAACCCCACGCGGTGTTGTCTGAACTTGAACAGCACACTGGTGAGAGGGTTGAGATAGTCGGGGCCCGGCAGCAGGGCATCGTTGAGGCTGACAACGTGGCTTGGCGCAGCTGCATCAAATACTAGGCGCAGCTTGCCTGGCTTGTTGGGGTTTGTCACTCCAAAATGTGGCAGGTACCACGCTCTCTGAGAAGGCATCTGGAGCTGGGAGTGTGTGAGCTTGGTGGCGTATCCGTCGTCAATATACTGTGCAATCTTGGCGCAGTACGCTTCAGAGAATGCAGGGTTCCTGTCCATCTTGCGTTCAATGGACAGGAGGCGGCGCGTTGCTGACGTTTTACTCTCCGGTAGGCTTACATCAGCGTCTCGCCACAGCAAGCCGGTCTCCCATCGTTCCCCGATACGTCTCGTGGTGGATTCCAGGATCCTTTCCGCCTTCGCTTCCTGTCGCGAGCGTATTTTCTCGCTGCGGACTTGTACACCGAACGATTCTGTGGTGAAGTAGTGCTTCACCTGTTGGTGGAGGCCGATATCTGTGTCCTGAGCGCTGCCTTCTTCCGCTGTGTCAAGTCGGGCATGCAGTACCTGATCAGTGCCACCGAGTTGGCCGTGTATCGACCACCCTAGCTTGCACCGGCTCAGTGTGGGTGCGTTGGGTGGGCCCTCGATCGTCTCCCTGGGCAAGATAACATGGCAGTTGTCCTGGCCAATCAGCAAGCGCGGCTTCTTTGTCGCGCTGAGCGGGATGTCTGCGCTGCTCACGTGTTGCCAACGCTGTCGCTGATGGTTGATGTCGACATGCTGGGCTGGTAGGTGCAGCTCACGCACAGTCCGGGCCGACAGCTGGAGGTCTCCGTCCTGACCGCTCACGGTGATCGTGACCTCCCTGGAGTCAGGATCTTGCTGGCACATATCGTTCGTCCATGCTAGCGTCAATGGCATACATGGCCCTTCTGCGCCCACCTGCTTCGCGATGTCTGAATCCAGCAGGGTGACCGTTGATGCTTCATCCAGTAGTGCTGCCGTGTTCACCATACCTTTCGGTCCGCGGATTGCTACCGGCACTGTCCTCAGGACGACTCTGCTTTGCTGCTGGGCGCTAGCTAGGTTCGTGCGTTCGACATCGTCCTTCCTCTTTGGTGGGTGCAGCATCGGATGGTGAAGCCGGTCACAGCCATCCTTCTTACAGGGTGTACTGTCAGGGCACTCTCTAGTGCGGTGGCTCTGGCCAAGGCAGGTGAAGCATCGTCGTTCTGTCTTGACCCATCTCCAGCGTTCGTTGCTCGTCTTGCGTGCGAATTCTCGGCACTCAGCCACCTTGTGGCCTGTCCGTCCGCAGAAGTCGCACTTTCTCTCGCTGGCCACGAAGGCAGTCTGCCGCTGGCCGCTCTGTCGAGCAGTCGGTGGCGGCTTCATATTGCTGCCTGTTGGCACACACTTTGCCGCCGTCGTGTCGATTCTCCGAACACAATAGAGCGCATCTGCTCTCTTTGCGAGCCACTCTGCCAGAGTTTTCATCGTCACTGGATCTTTGCACTCTGCTACGTGCTCTCCCCACTGACGGGTCAAGCTGCTCGGTAGTTTCTGCACGATCTCCTGGCGGAGCTGCGGGTTAGCTAAGTGGCCTGTGCTCTTGAGGAGCTCCATGGTCGACACCAAGTTGCTAACCGAGTTCGCCAAGTCAATAAGTTGCTCGAAGTCGTCGTCTCGCAACTTAGGCATGGTCTTGACCTGGGCAATCATGGACTGCTGGCCGAACCGCATCTGGAGAGTGTGCATCACTCGATCAATGTTGTCCGGTACGACGAGCATTGGCTTCACACTGTCCAAAGCCTTTCCCTTCAAGGCTCTCTGCAGACGGGTCATGTTCTCCTGGTTGGAGAAACCACACTCTGCAGTGGAGGCCGTAAACGTCCGGTTGAACATCGGCCATGCTGTCGGATCACCGTTGAAGGCCGGCAGGTCTTTTGTGGCTGATTGTCTAGCCATCATTCTCGGCAGGTCCTTGTCCGAGGTGTTCTGGTGGGCTGGAGTGGTCGCCCTTGGTGGCGTCAGCTTGTCCGACAATACCTGGGCCAGCTGTGACACTGCTGATGCAACAGCTGTCTGTATGCTGTCACCTGATGTGGCCTGCGTCTGCAGGCTAGCAGGACCATCAGTACTTGCTGGTCGTTTCGGGGGTCCATCGTCACGGCACCCTGCTCCCGCGCTCCTGGACGGAGGGAGATCGCATGTGAAGGTGTCGGCACCGGCCGCACCACGTGGCTCACTTTGCGCTTTGGTCTGCAGCTCGTGCCTTTCCCGGTTGGAAGGTGCCATGTCCACCTGCATGACTGCTAGTTGAGCTCTGGTCTCCTCCAGCTCGTACTCTAGATTCTGCACTTGGTCCTCCAGGTCGCATGACGTGCTGGTGAGCTGGCTGATGCGATGGTCTCTAGCTACCAAGTCACATTGGAGACGGTCGTTACTTGCTTCGGCCTTGGCAAGATCTCCCTCCAGGGACTTGATCACCTGCACCTGGTCAGCATGCCTTGCGTCTTCCTGGAAGATCCGCTGCTTCAGGGTTGCAATCGTCTGTTGCTGTAGCTGGAGTTCGTCTTTCAGTCGTCTTTTTGCTTCAAGCTCCAAAGTGAGCTTGTCGTCATAGGCTCGCTCAATGGAGCCAGTGTTCTGTCGGCATAACTTCAGCTGCCCCTCCAACTCCTGGATCCTTATCTCCGCAGCACACAGAGGCTGCACAAGGCTGGTGGCTGGAATTACAGCTGGAGTAGCCGCGTCATGTGGGTCACTGTCCGTGTACCCCTGGGCTGGCATGACACTTTGAGTCACTTCGACCTCCTCGTGCTGTGGGTGCTGTTCTGCGTCTTGAGCAGATACTGGTTCTTCACCGTCCCTCACGAAGTAGTGTGACTCCTGCATGTCCATTGCCCTCTCGCTGTGGCCGTAGTCGAGCACGGGTGCTGCTAAGCCTCCGTTGTCGACCTCCTCGTCGGCCTGAATCGCCGCCAGGTCCGCGGCGAGCTGGAGATTGGAGAGTCTCTTCTCGCTTTCCAGCCTATGGCTTCTCGCCTCCTCTTCAAGTGCAGCCACACGCTGCGCTGCCACCAGCTCCGCTTTCCGCTTTCTGGCTTCAGCAGCACTGCTCGAAGGGCGTCGAGAAACACTCGAGAATCGGCTCAGTGTCGAGGAGGAGATACTTTCGGTTTCCTCCGCGACGCTGCCTGCGACAACGTTACTGATATTGTCGCTCCTGCTGCAACAAGTCGGCTTCACTTTCCGGCCTTTGGTCTCACGTTGAGATCGCCTGACCTGTTCACTGTGCCGCTTGTCGACGTCCATTATCTTTCCGTCCGGCTGGTTCGAATCCGGC